CAGTAATCATGATTAACTCATCATTGTGGGGCATGAAGTCAGGTAGTAGTTACAGAAAGTCTGACATCTAACATATACTCAGTAAATCCTAATGTTCCTCCACCTCCAGACTCTATTTATGCATGTTTTTAAAAGAATTTGGATTTATTTGGTGAACTACTTAAATATTAAAAAAAGAAAGGTTGTTGGTTTTAAATTTTAAAATTTAAATCAGATTACATTGCTCCTTTATATTTCTCTACAACCTAATAAGGCACCTAGAAAACATCTCGTATCCATTCACCCCTCCCTGTTGTCCAAATCTGTTAGACAAACCTAGATTTTGAATATGCTACCGCTTGAACATTCTACTTGAGGATCATCCTTGCTTAGCTGGACGTGGCTAAGTCATTGCTCTGATTTTTCAGTGAGCATGTGCATTTCAGGAGAATTCTCTTAAAGCAAGGACAGTTTTTGGAAGTTAACTTTTTTGAATGACACTGAGAGGCTGAAGGTGAAAAGAGTGCTGGTTAATTGTGTGCTGAGCACCCGGAATCCTCAACCATTGTCCTTCCTGGGGCTCTCCAAGAGAGCTCAGGCCACATATTCGGGTTTGGATGGTTGCCAGCCCGAATGCAGATAGAGCATTTGAAAATAAGGCAGCATATTCGTTTCACTGTTTCCTTATTTGAAGATAAAACAAGAGAAATCCCAACAAATGGGGTGTCTTTTTGAAAGGAGTGGTAATTGGGCAGTCTGTCCTAGGTAAGACAGTTATGGCTATAGGCACTTTAAAGTTGACTCTGAAAAGAGAATATCTGGGAAAAGTGAATGTGAATATCCTGGTGCCAAGCTTGGGACAGTTACTCCCTGTTGTAAGCCAGGCGCTCCTTTGCTTGGGAGAGGCTTAACCAATTAAGGCAGTTGTCGAGATTTCGAAAACTAAAGCTCATTTTTGTAATCCTTCTAAAGTTTGCAGCGCTGTTTCAATTGCTTCTGAGTATGTAGCTTTTATATCAGTAATTTGAGTTGGCTTGGTAGTAACTACCAACTTGTCTTTAAAATTCGTTTGCTGTGTACTGTTCCTCCTCAGTCCCTAGGTACTTGCTTTTAAACCTGGAATGCTTAAAAGGTTCTTTCCTAAGATTCTCATTACACAATTCTGAGCCCTCTTCTGTTGAACATTATCATAAATTTAAAAATACTAACACCCCCTCCCCCCAATACCTTCCCCCTTGCCATTAATCGTTCGGAAATTCTCCTGGAATATTTAGCCATTAACTTAGGAATGAATGCCATTGGCTGAAATTGCTTCTGCTAAACATGAGAACTTTTAGAACAAAATGGAAATGTCTGATTACTAACCAACTCTTCAAAGTTGCCAATAAATGCTTATTTCTCTGCTTATTGGTTTACATGAACGCAGTGATCGAGAATTAGGGTTTATGCCATGGAATCTTTATGCCATGGGATCTTGTCTTTTTCTGTCCCCTTGGTTTTGCTATGATTCTCTTCCTTCTGAGGTGTTTAAAGCTAAAATAGGCGTGAACAGTATCGGTGGTTGGTTACTTACCCACCCACCCACCACCAGCGCCTTTTAGGAGAGGGAAGGACAGTCAAATAAAAATCAAAATACCAGCCCCAGAAAGCGGAAATCAGCCTCATGCAAGGAGGCAGATGACACTACTTTGTGACAGAGTGTTGTGTCCATGACTTCCAGATGTCATAAGTCTCCACTTCCAATCTCCTTTCCCCCTACTCCAAACCCCAGTCTAACTTCTGAGAGAGAGAGAGGTTCGCCACAAAAGCAGTGACATTCACCTGGCAGATTAGAATCTGAAGTAACCAATCCTCATTTCCTATAGAAAACTTACTGGCATATCAACATTTCCTCTTTTCATCTTTGTCTACCATGGGCCACAGGGGATAAAGAGGTGTCAAGTAGCGTGGCAGTGGCAGCCAAACGCACAGTTTGAGACAGTTCAGTAGGGACCAGCTTTGTGCAATAGGTAAACGTATTTAGGTTTACCAGGAAGCTTCTTGCGAAAGTTAATAGTGTACCTTTTAGAAATGGGTAGGATCAGGGGAGAAAAAAAGGAAGGCTAGAGACACTGGTCTTTGCCACCACAAAAACAGGTCACAGAGCTAACAGTCTGCCGAGATAAAGCCGTGCACTTGGCTGTTGGAGTTGTGTCCCTGCTGTTTTGGTTGGTTGTTAATAGAAGGGATGTCACCAGTGTTCTTTCTTTTCCTGGGATCCATACAGACTCCTTTCAAGCAACACGTTGATTGAAGCTTGACTGCAGTCGCAGCAAGCACTGGGCCTTGCGCATCCCAGGCACGTTCTTGAAGCACGGTCACGCCCTCCTGTTCAAGGATCGATTCCTCTTAGGGGCTTTTCCTCTGATGCACCTCAGACAGAGAACATTCATTTTTACGTAAGGGGGAAAAGTTCTTTTTAAAAAGTTTTTGAAATTAGAGTGGCCAGGAAAGTAATACCAAACTCAGGACATAACTTCACATAAATTGTTGTGTTAGTAGTGAAACTCATTGTATAGTTTTGATGTAAAGTTTATATTCCTTCGTTTTTCTCAGCTGTAGAAGAAGAAAATGGAAGTTCACCACCACCACCACCACCACAAATATAGAAGCTAATTTCCATACTTCCTACTCCTTGAAAGGAAATATATTGGGGTACCTTGTCCTGGACCTTTTATTACTGGTTTAAAGAAACATTTCATTTTTAGTCCTAGCTATAGGGCTGTAATATGGATAAAACTGGATGAAGAAGGAATCTGGCAGTTTGCTACCAGTCTTAGTCTTTTACACCATGCCGTCTTAAAAATTTTATTGTAAAATCTGTTGCATTCAGGCAATTTGAGGGGAATTTAATAAGGTTAAAGAATACATTTTTTAGAGCAATGTGTTTTTATTGATGAGATATCCATATTATTTTAAATGCAATGCATACACAAGGCTTTGTATATTTAGTTAAGAGAAAAGCTATTATTTATAATTAGCATATCCAGCAAACTGTGTGTAGTGGTGGTATTTTCCCTGACTGAAGTTCTCAGATCTTTTCGAGATGGGGAAGGAAAACTGAGCAGCAGAGAAAGTCACTAGACGCTTGGGGAATACCTCCGAGGTGCACTTCTAAATGACAAGTCTTTACTATTACTTCTGAGAGACACTTAATTTCTACTAATATTTTATACCTAAATTGTATATTGATGGATATTTCAGAAGTACTGAGTTTTAACAATTATAATTTGATTATTTGCCTTTAAAAGTCATACTTGCAATTTGAATTCTTGGTAATCTCTTCCCAACACCTCTTTCTATTTCTTTAAAAATAAATAATGAATTTTGGGTTGGCCTGGCTTTCTTTGTTTGCTTTTTCGGTGTTAATTGTAACTTTCTATTTGTAATTTCTATCTAGTTAAACTTCATTTGCCAAATGAGTACTTTTACTTAGAATTAAAATAACCATGGCATTTAAAACAGAAGAAGACCTTAGCATTGATTCTATACCAATTCTCAAATTCATGTGGTTGAAATAAATCTATTAAACTAGCTAGGAGGAATTCTTCTATTTGCCAGAGATATTTTTTATAAAAAGGATATATAATGATAAAGGCAGATTATTATATTACTTTATGTTGCTACTGCTTCTTGAACCATTATATTAAAATTGATTTCTAAGACTGTAGTGATTTAGAATAGAGCATGGGTGACATCACTTTGCTTTCATAGTTTATCAATCTGTTGAAAGACTAGTTTGGTACATAAAATGATCAGATATAACTTCCTCCCTGCAGGTAATAAGAGAATAACTTCTGTAACTTTACTAAATAACAAAAATAAGTAATTCTTGAGTAGTATCATCGATAATTGTGAGAAATATAATGTTCTTTAGAATAAACTGGTTGATAATTTATTTTCAACAGGTGTTGAAAATAAGACACTGTCTGAGGCTTTTTTATACTTTCTGACCTTGAATCTTGTTTGCTCTGTAAAACCATAATAGCAGTATAACCACTGAAATGACAGACATTACTTTAAGCTGAAACCTAATTAAGACTTTTGAAAATGAAATGTTAAGTTCCTAATTAAGCAAATATGTTTATCCAACATGGCCATGCATTCATTATGGTTGAAATAGCTTAGATGTTATTAACTGTAGAATTTTCTCTCATATCTACTGTCTGATATTGAACTGTAGTGTGTGTGTGTGTGTGTGTGTGTGTGTGTGTGTGTGTAGTGTCTTAATGATAATATTGCCTTTTGGACTTATTTTTCTGATTATTCTCTAAGTCAGTAAATACACATTATAGTCATTAATTTTGCAAAAAAAAGGTAAACTTTTCTTTGAATTTGTGGTGATTAAAACCTTTATTAACTGTTCTGATGGACAAATACTATTTCTTACGTAAAACAAAGAAACACGGACAGGAAAAAAGAATTTGTTTTTAAATTAAACATGCAGTAGGGGCTCTAAACGAAGGCACAAACGGATTCTTCTATTTTAAATAAGCTACACCCTTTGTCCCGTTTATATTTAACGTGGCAGTTGTTTCCCCATTAGTTGTTCTTATGGTTTTAACTTTTCTGTTCTAAGAGCTGTGTTGAAGCAGAGATCGATGGCTTTTCTTAGTTAATAATACAAGTGAAACTTTGTACAAATTAGTTTTATTAGATTTTATTGGGTTTTTCCCCCCTGAGTTTAAAATATGCAAGTGTGAACCACAGGTAATAATTTCTTATTTAGAACAAAGCATTAATATTATCTTTTTCATAACATTTCTCTGCATATAGTTTTTAAATTAAAGAAGGAGAAGGAAAAGTCCCAGTGTTTTGAAAGCTAGATTTTGTTTACTTCACGTGCTTGAATGGATTTTTAAATCTGGAAACCAGCCTCTGATAGCTAACACAGTTCTGTGGAACTTTATTTCCAGAAGGGCTTGTTTAATATTGGCATCATTAAGTAAGGCTTTTCTCTCCCATCCTCTCCCGCCATCTAGTCCAATATCAGATGGAAATGATGCGGAGCCTTCGCCATGTCAACATTGATCATCTCCATGTGGGTTGGTACCAGTCCACGTACTACGGCTCGTTCGTCACCCGCGCGCTCCTGGACTCTCAGTTCAGTTACCAGCACGCCATTGAAGAGTCTGTCGTTCTCATTTACGGTTAGTAGGAGGTTCCTTTATTATTCTTTTCTTCCCTTAATATTATTACTGCTATTTTTGCTTTCTGTCTTTTTTGCCTCTAAGAGCAGCCTGGCAGGGCTTCCCAAGTAAATACCAAGCCTGTTTCTGCAGCAGCCCCAGCAGCAGCTAAGTCTAGACAGGGTTTCCTTCTTTCTGTTTATTTTTCTTGCTATCAGAGCCCTGATGTGTACGTTTTGGAATGCTGGAGTAGCTGCTTCATTTTTATTCCTCCATCTACCCTCCCTCGTTGCAGGAGCTGGTGGAACTAGACCAGATGTCTAACAAACCCCGATTGCTGGAGTGTCTGGCTCTGTACGTGACTGACCAATCATAACACAGCTTGCCAAGTCCTTTTTTTTTTAAGGCCTCTGACAGCAGCGTACAAAACCTGGACTGTTTCTTAGCACAAAGATTTTTTTCTTTTCGGCCTATTTAATGGTGTTTCCTCAAGCTCTCCAGACCAGATGTTCTGTGCTGTATCAGAACTGTAGGCAATTTAACAGCTTTATAGCCTCCCCCCTCCCCACACACTCACAGTTTGCCATATCTGGCAGACTTGCATATAGTTTCCAGCTGAGAAGTAAATGTAACGTCCTGAGTATCTGTCAGAAAAAATACTAATGAATACGATCAATCTTATGAGCTGCCTCCAAATTGTTTCAGTATGTTAACAATTGGATTACAGTAAAGAACAAGTTGTTAAAGTGTACTTATATTGGCTGGAAACATTGCATCATCAGATCTTGATGAATTTTCCACTTGTTTCAATCTATTTTAGTTTTTATTTTATCACCTATTGCTAAAAGTTTCACTGTGTTAAGTTTGAGACAACATGAATGTTAACACAGGTTTTAGGCGAATATTGGCATGCCAGAGCCGTTATCATCCAGCACGTGTAAAGCTCTTTTGCTCACAGGGTGTTTAAGCAGTTAGTTTTGACAAAATTAGTTTCTCTGCGTTGAAAAAAAGGACATTTTGTGATACCATTTGGACTTCAGCAGCTTTGTTTTTAGAATCCATTTGACCAAGATATTTGAACAGTGATTATTAGAATGAGGACGTTTTCTTTGTAGATTATTCTTTTTAGGTTACAGAACTACAAAAAAAGCATGCAGTGAAGGCTTATATATTCAATATTCATTGATAATTTTTCTCCTAATATATGAGTGAAGGTTCTAGCTGAGGAGTTGATTTGCAAATACCTTAACTATATTTTAAACTTTCTGTTTTATTTTAGAGAGGAAGTTATTCTGTTATAGAAAGAGTGTGACCCTAAATTTTCACTTACTGTCTGCTATAATGGTTTGAATCTGTTTCAGATTTTATGCTTGCATTCTGCATATTTCTTGATCTTTTTTTGCAAAGACTGTATGATAGGTAATAAAATGTACCTAAAATCACTGCTCTTTGAGCACTGATAGTGAAAGTTCTTAGTTTTTGCTTTCTCTTTTCTGTGTTTAAGATCCCATAAAAACTGCCCAAGGGTCTCTGTCACTGAAGGCATACAGACTGACTCCTAAGTTGATGGAAGTTTGTAAAGAGAAGGACTTTTCTCCTGAAGCGTAAGTGTTTGAGGGTCTATGAAGAGGCATATGGTAAAGCTTTGATATTTTTCTATTAACATCTTAGTTTGCCACATTTATTGAGTCCTTGCTGGTGGTGTGATAACACTTTGACCACGTGGACTGGAAAAGTTTTTCTGCATGGCTAAATGCCACTTAATTTCTGTCTTTCCCTGTTTAATCTGGGTGTTTTGTTGTTGTTGTTATTTAAATAAGTGTCTCATCTGTTCTTATTGATGATGAATTTTGTTAGGGTGAGATTTAATTAGCTAGAGGATTTCAAGAAATAAATGATTGCGTAAAGGAGGATGGGAAGAATGATCAGAGGCTGTGAGATCTTTACTGTGTGTCAGAAGGCTTGTGAACTGTTGACTTCCCGTCTGAGCTCCTGTATAATGTGAGAGGGGAGAGATGTAAACAGTTTAAGGATTCAGTAAAGAATGAAGCTTATTAGAAATTTGAGAACGTCCAATGACTTGAATTTCCAGTAACGTGAAGAGAGCTAATTGAGCTGGTTTGCAAACCTTCTTCATAACTGTAACATTTACTCTAGTATTTACAGTAAAAAAATTCAAATCCTAATTCTTGAACTTTCCATTAATGATGATATTTTTTGTTCATTAAATCAAAATTAGCAGTTTTGACTTCATGTAGGAAAACTCATTGCTAGTTTCTCTTTTGACTCTGAAAGAAATGAAGATGTAAAGAGTGTTAAATGAACTGTTCCTGGGTCTGGTAGTTACAGCTAAATTGTGAGAAGGTACAATTTTGTTGTGCTCTAAACTGTTGTAGTGAACGTTTCAGTAATTTTTATACTAGTTACGCTTTTTTTTAAAATTTTTTATTTTATTATTTTTGTGTGAGTGTACCGTCAAATCAGATCTGACTGGTAAAGTTACTCTTTTTATTTCAGTACACTTTGAAAATGCACTTTCCAGGAATGAGAACGTATTTAATGTTTTTTTTTTCTTATTTACCTTTTATAAAATGTCCTAGGTATAGATGGTATAAGCATAACTCTCTGAGATATTTTGTTTTTATCAGCAATTTTTTAAAATTAAAGATCCCAGAGAAAGCTTGTAATTAGGTAAAATGTATGAAATATTCTATTTAACACTTCTGACCGCCAGAGTAAAGCATTTTTAACATGCTTCAACAGATTGAAAAAGGCAACTATCACCTTTGAGCACATGTTTGAAGAAGTGCCGATTGTAATAAAAAATTCACATCTAATCAACGTCCTAATGTGGGAGCTTGAAAAGAAGTCAGCTGTTGCGGATAAACATGAGCTGCTCAGTCTTGCCAGCAGGTACGTACGTCGCCCTGCCTAATGAAAAGTCCCCCTTAAACACGTTAAACACAGTCACTTAAAATGTGGGTTTTTATCGTCCCAGAGTGATAGCCAGGACAAGACAAGTTATGGATTGAGGCCCTGGAATGGAACAGTCAGAAGAGCGCAGGGAGTCCATTCAGGAGCCTGATGGGTTGGACATTGACCAGCACTGTGGCGGCCGCAGACGTTCAGAGCAGTGGGAGCAGGCGTCAGATTGCAGCTCAGGCAGTTGAGAGATTTGGTCGCTGTGGAGTGCACTCGCTGGCTTTGTTTCTAAGAAGGAGTTCAGTTTCTAGTAGGATGTTAACTCTTTCCCTGTTCTTGTGCATCCACATTTTTCACATTTGGGTCCGTTCTGGTCTCACTTTGTTGACCATGACTGAACCAGGGAGAACTAGTTTGAAGCCATGTTTTACATTCACTTTAGAAACAAGAACAGAATTACTTAAGAACATTTTGAGGTTAGTAAGACGTATGTAACAGCATGTAGTACTTGTCGGGCCTTGCTAAAGAGCCCAGGAAAGACGCCAAGCTGATAAAGTGAACAATGTTGGATACTAAGCATTCTTAAGAACCCTTTACAGGCTCCCTTGTGCTCTGATGCTGTAACTGCTTCTGGGCTGGGAGGCTGGAGGTTATCTGGCTGAGCTTTGTTTACTGTATATGATCTTCAGAGGCTCCTGGTTCTTTGTCTGGATATTTAATAATATTCGAGAGACAAACGGAAATGTTTTTCAGCCAGGCTGCACTTCCCCTCACAACTAGAGATTGTGTCAGCTGTACACTTCCAGGTTGTTAGTTTCCAACGAAAATTTGAATTTTCTGAACCTGATACTGACTCTTACCAACTTAGATAATAGTGACAACTGCCACTGATTTAGTTACCTTGTTGCCAGTATATTCTGCATGTCCTGGTATGATGCTAACTGAAATGTTTCAGAGCAGATACTTCCTTAATAGAACTAATGTTACTTTTTCCACATTTACTACTTTGAACAGAAACAGGCTTATATGAACTGAAAAGTGAACTTTAAGCTGTATGGTTTGGATTTTGCACGATGAAAGTTCTCTAGTAGCCGACCTGCCACAAGCACGGAGTTAGGTGGAAGCATGAGTCATCAGTCTATTTGTTGAATCACTAAAAGGAGTAAATTGTCAACTATTTTGGAGCAGAAGTACATTTTATTTTTCCAACTTCTGATTGTCTTGGAAATTCATATTTCTTACTTTTCGAGTAAAAGGACCACAGAGTCCACCCTGATTCTTCACGCTCACGTTGGATAGGGCAGTGGTTCAAATGTGCCCCTCTTTTGCAGGGATCCATCATAACATTTCACTGCCATCAAGTCAGATCTGGCCCATAACAGACCCGTCAGTGAGTTTTTAGAAATGTATATTACTTGGAAGGAGATTGCCCATCTTTTCTTGGGGAGCTGCTGGTAGATTTGAACCACCTGCTTTGAATTTGCATCTCAACTACTTATCACGTAGGCCACCGAGCTCCCCAAGGCTACTAGAAAGCCTTTACAGTGGGAGGAAGTTGGCACCAGAGAAATGCTCAGTAATATATCCAGGCCGCAATGCTAATTTGACACCAAAACTGTACTGTTTGACTGCAAACATATAGTCATAATAGAATGTTCATTTGTCTATCTTAGTAATTTATAGTTTTCTTTATTGCTTTTGCAAACATATATAACACACCTGTGTTAAATCTTGGAGCAAAAACCCCTTTTCAGAATGCAGAGTTAGAATGTGATGTATTAAGTAGTTATGTAGTCATTTTCTTGCAGTAAATTTGCTACATGAAAGCTTTTTCTTATATAATCCACATCTTCACCTTTTCCCAAGCTTCTTTTATTGAGCATACAAAACAAATATAGCCCTTCTGTGCTTTCACATTACAAAGAGCTGGTCTGTAATGTCTGTTTGTCTAAAGCAGCATTTATAATAGGAAAATGTTTCCAGTTCACCATAGCAACAAAGCTCTAGACAAATACTTTATTATAGTTTTTATCTTCTCCACTTTCTTCTATGTGTAGTAAGAAAAAAAAATGGAAATGTAACTTTTGCACATCTCAATTTTTAATTTCTAATATTAATAGTGTGATAATGATGGTAGACCAGTTCTCATAAAATTTTATATAAGAAACCGCACCAGACATGATTGTTAAGCAGCGCTTTAAACATTTGGCATGGTCTTGCCTTTCACAGCCTATATTTGGATACTCGTTCTTTGATTTCCCTGATAAATTTGTTCTTCACTGTGAATAAAACATACCACATTTCATTTAGTTTTTTAAAAATTCCAAAAAAATGACATTTTTTTCTTTTAATTGTATTAAATGGAAGTTCTAGTAGTGGTTATTCTGTAACAGCTTTTATTAATTTTTTCAAAATGTACTATGTTAGCCTTCAGCTTTTCACACATAAAAAACATTACTGGTTTTATTTCCTCTTAAAAAAATAATAAATGAAGGGTGGGCATCATATATAAAACTAATAAGGATGAATCGATCCTGTAGCCAGGGTGGACTCATCAGTCCTTGGCGCTGGACACATCTGTTTATCTGTCAGTTCTTTGTTTTTCAATAATAAAAGAAAATGCTATATTATTAAAACTCCTAGCAGTATTGTCTGTTTCAGTATTCTGGTTAAACTAGTACTGAAAAGATTTCCCATAAAATTATTCTTGGTAATGTATCTAATTTCCTGCAAATATTATCACTGAAATAGTTGTATGTTGTTAATTTCTTATTATTTCAAAGTTTGTACTGTGTCTTTTTAGTATTTCTGATTGAATACATTTCTAGATGAAATTATACTAGCATATAAATTAAGTCAAGTGATAAAAAGCCACACGTCTGTGCTTACTAGATATTCTTTATTAACTATCTGATGGTGTGAGGGTCTTTTCTAGTAAGGTCTTTTTCACTACTAAAACTCTAGAATTTGAGATTTGAATGTGAAAGATTCTTCTTTGTTCCTGTGGTTGCTCTTCTTTTTGCTTTCCTCTAATTTCACTCTCTAGTCACGGGATTGGTGATGATCACGCTCTCCATAAATGATGAACTTGACAGCTAACCATGTAGTTTCTCCATAAATGATGAACTTGACAGCTAACCATGTAGTTTCTCACAGCGTCTCTTAAACCTCTTAAGGTCTTTGTGCTTTACTTCCTTCACTGATGCAAATGAACGGATCTGCGTCTCAGGTCAATCTTGAGTGTTCACTTGGCACTTCTTATCCTCCAGTTATTCACTTAAATGCTCTGTAAAGCAAGGAGACATTGATGAGTTGAGGAAAAGTGTTCCATTTACATTAAACTTGGTGGTTAAGAAAACGTACACTGTGGATCTTTGATTTTTGTATGTGTGACAGTTTGTATCTTAGCTCTTAGTTCCTCGCTTATGTATGTTCTTACAGTTAGAGCTATTTCAGATGGGTCAGGTGTAGGTGCAGTATGGAAAAATTTCTAACAAGCTGCCTCAGATTCTTTCCTCCACGCTGGATTTTATGTGTATGTTATGCTCATTTCTGTATCAGAAAGCAGATCATGTTAGTGATTCAGAATTGCTTAGAGCAATGGCAAAACCAGCTTGAAGTATGACGTGTCCATATATTTACGTTTCAGCAATCACTTGGGGAAGAATCTGCAGTTGTTGATGGACAGAGTGGATGAAATGAGCCAAGATATAGTTAAATACAACACGTACATGAGGAATACAAGTAAACAACAGCAACAGAAACATCAGGTTGGTGCTATGTCAAAATACAGCAGTCATGGAATTCAGTTCTTAAGTGTGACAAAATAATTAAATTATCTTTGTATTGTTAGCTCGCAACTGTCATATTTTCCTTTTGCTCCCTACATATTCTGTTCTTTATTATTTATGTGGTGCATCCCTCATACAGTCATGCATTGCTAAACATCCACAGTACACTCTGAGAAATGGGAAGTTACATGATTGGTGTGTTGTGTAAAAACCATATTGCATATAGGCAGTTCTCAGATGATGAAAAGTTTTGATGAAGGCTGTTTTGAAGTTGAACTTGGATGTCAGCCAGAACAGTTAGGTATGGTTCATATCTAATGTCAGTTAGATGTTTGTCTTAGTATATAGTATACCTTTCTATGCATTTTTTTTAAAAAAACAAACGCTTCTGGCTATAATAAAATGTCTTAAACATAATAATATTTTGATGCACATCACAAAGTAATGCCTACTTGTTATTACGATCCATTATATATGTACCTTGAGTTTTTAATAGACCTTGCAGATATTAGGAACTCTCTGGAGCCGCCTAAGGGACATTATGTGGTGCATGACTGTATATTATTTACAAGCTGCACTTGAAAATGCCCGTCCTAAGACAATTAGTATATATTAAGCTCAGATTGTAATGCCAAGGTTATGCAAATAAGAGGTGGCACATTTATTGAGAAAAGCAGAGGCAGAGAGATTCCAAAACGTTACAGCTCGTTTCTTCACTAACTCTAATTGGTTTGGTAGTTGCTCGTTTTAGCATGGTTAGCAATCTTCAGTTCATTTAAAAACTGAGCAGTTGTGATTAAAAGCAGGCAATTGTGATAGGGCATAATAGACCAACTGCTGTGAAACAGATAGTATAATACAAATAAAAACTCTGGAATTACCTGCATATTCTCATGTGCACATATATGATACTATGGCCTTTTAAACTTTTGTTTATTCATGTTAATCCGTTGGTTGCATGATTCCCACACTTCCTGGAACATTGTTCAAAGACTGTACTGCTCAAGACTGTTTTTAGTATTTGTTTCATAGATAAGTTATTTCTAGAATGCGCATCTAGCAGGTAATGTTTATTTATGACTCTTATGTGTTTGATAAAAGATACTTTGTGTGTATGGGTGGTAAAATATACTTGAAACTTACTGTTATTAAAGACAGAATTTTAAGCATAACTAAATGATTCTGGAAGTACTGTATTGTAAAAATGTGAATATTAGTATTCACACACATAGCAGATCCAGCATGGAGGTAAAGGACTAGCTTTGTAGGATCTCTCATCTCTGAGACAGTTGCTTCTGGAACCCATTCTTACAGATACTTTTGTAAATCCTGTTAGGTCTTTAAAATGTAGCAAGATGTTACATTTTTTTTCGATATTAGCAGGTGTTATTCTCATCTTCCCCAAGTGTCTTACATAAGAAATCATAGCAAAGTAAGTTACCTTTCTCATTTAGGAAGAGTTAGCACTTCTTCCCCACCCCCCCACCCCCCAGGACATTATTTATATTTGGTTTTCTTACCCAAGAACTTACAGCTTTTACTAACTCACTTCGGTTTTCATTATGCTCATGTAAGACATAGTGTTTGTTCTGTGGTTATTCACAAACACAGGGAAGCCAGAGCCCAGCCCAAGGCATCTCCCTGCTCCCCAACTCTCCACGTTCTCCCCACTAGCTGCGGAGCGTGTGGTCGCACCACTTTCTGTCTCATTTGAATGGAAAATATTTGCATGTTCTCTCTCTGACAGATGTGCACCTTACAAAGATTCTGACTTTCAGATTCTGCCTACTGTTCTTAGCTTTTGATTATAATTGGGCTTAAATGTATCTAGTTAACTTATACATACCACACACACATACATACATAGGTAACCCTCAACTTGTTACAGATCTCCGTTTTGATGATTCTATCCCAAGTTGGTTCTGACATACTTCATTGTTTTAAAAAGTTTTGTTATTGTTGTTGTTTTTTTAAATACTGGCTTTCATTATCAACGTCTTTATTAATCCAGTTTTATGTCTCTTTGTAGAATGATAACATTAGTAAATTATATCCTGTATCACTGTATGTTCTAACTATCACCACCAGTAAAATCTAGTCAGTCCTTCATCCTGGTGGAGAAGAAGGTTGAGGGACAGCTACAGGTGTAGTTTCTGTGTGTGTCTGTGAGCTCTGATGGCTTAGTGGTAAGGGGTAGTACTACCAACCCAAAGGTAGCTGGTTGGAATCCACCAACTTCTCCACGAAAAAAGATGGGCAGTCTCCTCTTGTCCCCTCCTGCCTCCAAAGAAGCACTGAAGGGTCAGCTCTGAGTCTCCAACTTGATGGTACATTACAGCTATGTGTATTTTATAGATGTTTTTAAGTTGTCAAGTTATACACATGCATTCCCCCTAAACCTCCGTAAACTCTTGGAGGAGGTTTTCAGAAACAGGAGGAGCTTGCCCAACTTTCCACCTTTCTTCCGTGGAACAGCTTGGTGGATTTGAACTGTGCGCCTTTGGGTTGACAGCTCAGTACCGTACCCACAGACTACCAGCATATTTAAACTCCTGCCTTTTCCAGGCTAGCATTTGTTCTTAGCTAAGGCAGGTGGTTTCTGTTCTTAAGAATAGTAATAGTAAGCACAGCAGTGATAATGTCCTGAACATTGTGGTTTAGGTCAGTTGGGATAAAGCAGGAAGAATTGCCCAGTATGGTGGTTCATTGTTTGGCTATTAAAGTCCAGTGGAATGTAATGCTGCCATTGACCCCATTATAGTAAATGATAAAGTGATTAATTCCCTTTTACTCATTGATCACAGGCTTCTTAAAGTCATGGACTCTCAGAGCTCAGTGACACCTGAGTTCCCAGCAGAAAAGGTTATTCAACTATTGTCTTATAATGGCGCTTTGATAGCCTAATGGATAGAGAGTTAAACTACTAACACAGTGGTTTGTGGTTCAAATCCACCAGCTGCTCCATGGGGGAAAGAGGAGCAAACTCTTCCTCCAGAAGCTCACTGGAGAGTCAGCCATGTGTCAGTTCAACTTGACAGTTGTTGTTCCCATCTTTAGCTACTTGGTTCTGAAAGTTACCAATAGCTACAGTTTATAAAACAGAGCCTAGGCTTTTGCTGACTGTCAGTGAAGATAGGTCATTGTTCTTTCTCAGGTGAAGAAAACTAACAAGCTCATTTTCCTCTGAATTTTAGTATCAGCAGCGACGCCAGCAGGAGAATATGCAGCGGCAGAGTCGAGGGGAACCTCCGCTCCCGGAGGAGGACCTTTCTAAACTTTTCAAACCACCGCAGCCGCCGGCCAGGATGGACTCGCTGCTCATTGCAGGTATCAGTCGCCAGTGCAGACTGGGTCAGCTTTCTCCATCTGCGCTGGAAGGAGGTTGAAGACGAGAAATCTGTAAGGGTGGTTGGGGAGAAAGAGCACCAGTGAAGCTAACACACTTAACGTGGTTAAAGGATGAATTTGACATGACACCCACCTGTAACTGAAATTTTAAATTGTTTAAGTCATCGTTCCTTCTAACATTCTCTAAGTGCATCCTTCACTGTGTACATATACATCAGAATATTTCGAGATGGCTTTATAATGTACCATAATTTCTCAGTCCATTCTATGGATGGATTTTAACCACTGATCTTTCACTGGGTAGCCAGACATGCAGCTCACTAGTTGTGTCGCCTGGTGACTCCTTAATAATATTAATCTGTGTAAATATTGTTAAATACAGTTTTCTCCAATTAGTCATTACCCATGAGGATTTATTTGAGTGTAAATCTTACTCACAGGAGCTCTGATGGCTTAGTAGTGGTATAAGAATTTGCACTGACAACCCAAAGGCATTTGGTTCAAATCCACCAGCTGCGCCATGGGAGAAATATGGGCGGTCTCCTCCCACGCATTTCATTGTCTCTGAAAATGCGCTGGAGGGTCAGCCACGGGTCAGTTCTAACTGGACAGCTCACAGCCACAGTAGCAACACATTTTACTCATAGGAAAGGTGATCTTTCATAATTTCTCAGTTGTATTGAGAATTAAATTGATAGTGTACTTATCAATTAAATTTATTAAAGTGAGATAATTCCTTATTTAAAGTCCGTTTGAAACAGTTATGTATTTTAATCTTTGAAAAAATGTGTGAACAACTTAACAAATGACAATTCATTTTAAAAAATGGGCAAAGGACTCGAACACTTCATCAGAGAATCCATCCAGGTGTCCAGCAAGCACATGCTCGTCATTAGTGAATAGAGAGACGCAAGTTTAAGACTTACCCTTTTAGAATGGCATTGACCCAAGAAGAGGCATGCCGTGCGTTTGCGAGGTTGTAGAGAAACTAGAGCCCTCATCTCTTGGTGGGAATGTAAAGCGCTCCGCATACTGCCCAGACCTGTTTAAGGTACTGCCCAGTTGTTAAATGTCGACCATAAAACCCTGCAATTCAGTCCTGGTTGTGTACCTAGAAGTGAAGGCAGGACTACAAATAGAAACGTCAACAGTAGTGTTTATTGCAGCACTTTTCAAAATAGCCTAAAGGTAGAAAAACTGAAATGAAATAAAATATGGTGCACGTATAAATGAAATATTAAACCCCACTGTCCTTGAGTCAGTTTCTTTTTTTTTTTTTTAAGTATCCCGAAGGACAGAATAGAACTGCCCCTTGTGGTTTCTAAGACCAAAATCTTCCTGGAAACAGATTGCCACATCTTCCTCCTCTAAAGAGGCTTCATATCATTCATCTTCTGTTTAGCAGCTAAGAACTTAACTACCATGCCACTAGGATGCTTCAGAACATCTGCAACGTGTACCATTGGGTCGATTCCAACTCCTACCTCCCCCCACTGGGTTTCCAAGGCTGTAAAGCTTAACGGGAGGAGATTGCCCAGTTGGAGCCAGTAGAGACTCTTGGCCTTTTGGTTCATTCTTGAAACACGTGGATTAAAAGAAGTCAGTCAGAGGAGGACACATACTGTTAAGATCTTAGTTAACATGGGTCAAGTAGATATATAGAAGTAAATGATTATGTGCAATCATGAATGAATGGAAATCCAAAGTCTGTATAAACTTTCATTAAAATAAAAACCCCAAAACAAATGAGCTGGGGGGGAAATAAAGAAACTCATGATTATTAGTGGGTACCAGAGGTAAGTCATGGTGGGGAGTTCTTACTTAGGGGGCATTGTTGTTGTTGTTGTTACTTACCGTCGAATCAGAACTGATTCATAGCTGGCCCTCCAGCGCATTTTCAGAGGCGGTAAATCACACAGGAGGTGATTTGCCCATCTGTCTCCCAAGGAAGCGCTGGTGGATTTGTACCACCTGCCTTTGGATTGTCAGCACAACTCCTTACCCCTAAGCCACCAGAGCTGACTGAGGGCCGCTGAGTTTCTATTATGATGGTCCAGTGAGTTAGAGGAAGGTAGAGAATAGCTCCACAGCTGGAAGAATCTAATCAGTGTCATGGAATTGTACGGTTAAATTATGGAGTTGGCACTTTACTAGCTATATTTTCACAACTTTAGTACATTTTAGATATTATATATT